AAACATTCGTATTTATTTCATTTTCTCTAGGAGAAAAACTGAATTTTTAAAGCAAAGCACTTTTTAAATTTTTTTTTTTTTTTTTAGACATTCTGGAATTACATTATTAGTGTAAATGTGAAAATTTATTCTCTCTAAAATAAAATTCTAAAATTTAACAGCATATACTAGTAGCAGTTTTTTAAAAGGTTTAAAGCATTCTGGAAATATTTTGCGTAAATGGGAAAATATTTGTTGTATTTGTGTAAGTGGGAAAATAATGTTACTGTAGCAACTTTCGTTTGACCAAGTTGTGGTCATGGCTGATGTTGAAAACAGTGGTATACCATGTCAGGAGTGCAACAGAAAAAAATGTAGTGTTGCTAAAAAAAAAAAACAGCGATTTCAAAAATCTGAAAGACAATCAAGTCAAAAATTTCCACAAGCAGCATTAATGAGAGTCAAGTATCTATGCTATACCCATATACCCAATAATGTCAGGAGTGCAACATTTGATGTTTTGCTCCCCACCATGAAAAAACTTTTATCAGTATATGATTCTCTGATTTTTATTTTCGAAAATAAAGACACAGAGAGAACATTTTTACCAAATTGATTTATCAATTACAGGGTCTTTCTGTGTTTCAGATCTATATTTCAATGGCCAGGAGTGCAACACATTTTTTTTAAGATTCAAGTTAAATGATGAAAAGACTTCTATTCATGATAAGAACTATTCTTTGATTAATAATGATCTATTTGAATAATTTAGTACTAAATTATTTACAGTTTAATTATTTTCAAAACCTTCTCTTTTTCAAATTTATCAATTCAGATGTGTTTTTAACTTTTTTTTGATTTTTTTTATGAGTGTAAAAAAGAAGCACACAGAAAATTATTATAAAATTCAAATAATTATGTTTATCAACTAATTACAGACATTTTACAGTCAATTTAGAGAATAGTTTTCATCACTTAACACATATTTTTAAATACAATATATATATATATATATATATATATATATATATATATATATATATATATATATATATATATATATATATATATATATATATATATATATATATATATATATATATATATACTTTTCAACACAACCATTCCCCATGATAAATTAAAGTCCAGGCTTTTTGACATCATTGACTGCTGCTTTTTCAATAAGAATGGATCTCGCAATTTTACTTACATTGTCATTTGCTGAATTGTTTTATTAAAAAGCACTCTGATTGTAAACACATGTCCTCTGAAGTAAGATGCTTGAGTTTCTGATTAAGAATACATGTATCTATGTATAGTTTTTAGAGACCAGGTCTTCCAACAATCTATCGGAATTGCCATGGGTACCCATCGCGCCCCGTATTAGCAGACCTACTTTTGTATTCATATGAAGCAAATTTATTCAAAATCTTATATATGAGAAAAAGAAAACACTTGCTGTGGCCTTCAACTCGACATTTAGATATATAAGACGTATTATCAATAAACAATAGTTACTTCCATTCATATGTCGACTCGATATATCCCAGTAAGCTTGAAATAAAAGATACCACCGAGTCTGACACATCTGTTTCATATTTGGATATTTTACTAGAAAAAGACCTTAATGGTAACCTAACAAAAAAGCTTTATGATAAACGCGATGACCTCACACCTGCACATGGGGTTAATATCTCTAAGTTGATTCGATACGCAAGAACATGCTCTACGTACGAACAATTTCTAAAACGAGGCAAGCTATTGACAATCAAATTGATGAAAGAAGAATATCAACAGTCTCGTTTAAAGTCATCATTTTGCAAGTTCTACGGTCGATACAATGACCTTGTCACCAAACACAATTTATCATTAAGTCAATTGCTGACTGGTGTTTTTCACACTAATTGTTAGGCCATTATTTACGCAATGAATTGTATATGGATTTCTCCGTTTTTTCCGATCATGACAAGGAGTACACGACGGGTGTGACCGGTCGGCAGGGGATGCTCACTCCTCCATGGCACCTGATCCCACCTCTGATGTTTTAGAGGTCCGTGTTTGCTCTGCTCTTGATTTGTATTCTTTGAATGAACTTATGACCTTGAATACTGTTCGTTTTTGAATGACACCTGGTATAAATAGGTAGACTAAAATATCAGATCTGTATATAGCTACATCAAATACAAAGTTTTGGATTTTGCTGCATGGCGAACCTCTGAAAAACAACATGAAGTTTTAGCTTATTAATTATTCAAAAATCTACTTCTGATAATTCGAATTTAAAAATAAGGTAAATTGTTCTTAAAAGATTTAAAATAAGATTTCTCTTTGCGATTCATTAGAAAGATATTCTAATTCACATCCTCGAAAACTATAAACATTAACGATTAATATCATATTACAACATTATATTATATATTCAGTATATATTATAGAGCGGAGAAAGACAGTTCATCAATTTCGTGTTTGAATGAAATACCGGTACCTATTAATTATTTGTTGGAATGTAAATATGTGTTTTGTATTTCAATTTTAAAAGTTAATGAGCATTTAAACACATTCTTTTTTACCTATGCATATTTTTCTTGTAGCATTTTGAGCTTTCAAACTTTAAATAAGTATTTTGTAAAATAAATCATAATTATGAACCTGTTACAAACGAAGACACCGAAATAAATCAGTCCTTGTAAGTAATACCGCACCTTAAATTATATGCAAAATCCTGTTTTTTGTAATTACAAAACATTTCGGATTCATGTAAATTTGGATAACCCTTTCTCTTTCTCCCCCCCCCTCTCTCTCTCTCTTAAGAAGGAGAGAGAGGGGAGGGGGGTTTTCATTGGCAAAGCATTTTTATTCTCCGTTCTTCCCTTATAAGGAAGAGAAACAAACCGGATATTCACCTGCTAGCAAGATCTACAAGAACGACTACCAGATAGACACAATTAGATTGATTTCAAGCTTTTGCTAGTTCTAACTATTTCATAACAACACCTAGAAATTGACAAGTTCCTTGTATTTGATATTTAGAAAAGTGACATTTCCCTGTGTTGAGAAATCTTGTTAACGGAGTGCTTCATGTGACCATTGAATTACACTTTATCTGCAAAATTTGTCAAAGGTCTTTAGGGAGCACATTACATTACGGCAAGCGTGTTAATGGTCTTCATTCTGCTGTGCTATACTATGTTGCTGACCACCGATGTAAAAAGGTTATTTCATGATATGAAATTATTTTCGAAAACCTCAAAAGATAGTGGTCAAACTTTCTTTACTCCCGCTTTACAATACTATCTCTGAGGTTGTGAGTCAAGACCATCCTCGTGATTTATACTGAAACAAAAATTCAATCTAAACCCCCATTAGTTTTGCTTAAAATTCTGAAATTCTGTGTTTTCTATTTGGGGTGTATGTTAAAATGGTAGTTGGAAACCTTCAGCTTACCAACTCATTGATGACCAAGTTGGGATGGATCGAGGAGCTTTAAAAAGACTTATGGAGCTTGTGTTCCATGTTGCCTACTTTGTTGCAAAATTGTATTTTATCGAAATGTTACTTTTAATCAAAATAAGAAGAAAAAGTTGTTTTTTTTTTGTTTATTTTTATTTTTTTAGAATTTACTTAATGATGATGTCTGTTGTGTGCCTCTTGCCTAGTTTGTTCTGAATATGTAACGTTTCCGAAACTTTATTATCATTCCAAAGCGAAAATTTTAGCTATAGCCTTACTATTGTTTTAATAAGTTTTATGTTTATTGATGGTGTTTCAGCTGTACCCTGCACTGTTCTAAAATTGGCATTTGAAACTAGATACCTAAGCATAACTGCTTGAACTTTGTAATTTAAATCTTATAATCCCCGACACAATGGCAGAATACTGATAGCAGGGGGATATAATTTATCTCTAACTTCTCAAAATGAAAATTGTTTAGTATATACCATGTTGTAAATTTTGAATTTACCGGACAGAGGTAAATGAAAAATTTACAACTTTGATATATACTTTTATGAGACGCTTATGAGCCATTTACGTTACGATTCCGACACGTACAATAGTAATTAAATAAGTAAAATAGTAATTAAAAAAGTAACTCAAGGTAGTAAACTAGGTTATGAACATGTACAGAATATTACATATAAAAAATACGTTTAAAATTCAAGAGAAAGGATAAACAAGAAAGAAAACCAAAAGGAACCGGGTGTTGTACAGTCAGTGGTAAATTCTGCTCCGGGTAGTATCCGGAGTGTATGTAGAACGTTTGCTGTGAATTTCCTGAGCTACATATCGTATAAATTTTATGAATATTTCTGAATTAGATTTAAGTGAGAGGTATCAGGTCGACTGTTAAAAATTGCTTTAATTGATTTAAATATATATATATATTTATATTTATGCAATTGTATAAGGTCGACTGTTAAAAATTGCTTTTATTTGTGTATTTATGCATTTGTGTTTATCAGACGTATACATATGATTTATTTTTACAATTATATGTAAAAGCGACATCCTGTTAAAAAAAATACACATCTCAACTGAACACTGTATTATCAGGTAACACACGTTGGTTTTCGCTTTACCATTTGAAATTCGTTCAATTTCGCAAAACTGATCATTCAAACTTATCAATAAATTAATAATACGTAATTTGTCTTTTATTTTGCCAAGTATAAGTCAAAAGTTCAGCGCATTTTGGCGTAAGAGCGAAGAAGCGACTCCAATCATCGTGTTCAAAACAATTCATTACCTTAATTGCAATTTGTCATGTGTACGTCAAGAGACGTAAGGGAAATATTTATAGCAATGAGAGGCTCACCATGGGGGCACTTCATATTCATCAATGAAGTGGTATGAGATGATTTACGAATTAACATATGCGGTGTAGTTGTGACGCAGTTGTTGAGCTCTGACTGTTGAGTAAAATAGGCTTCACCTTTTCTTTTGTTTTTACATGTGGTAGTAAAATCTCCCTTAAAAGGGCCCACTCAACAATATCTATTTAAAACGTTGTCTTTGCCTCTTTCTTTACTTGAAAGACTTGAACAAGAGATGTGGAAATTATCGGTTGGAGGGTTGGTTGGAATAATTCTCTGTTTTCAATATGCTCACTCCCAGGGTAAGTTAACCTTTATAATTTACATTGCAACAACATAGTTTATAAGTATATATATATTGTATATAAATATTTACACATCATAATAGGACATGCTTATGTTTAATTTCATAACTTTTATGATTTCTGCTTGGCTTGCAACTTTTTTTAAATTTCATACTTTCCCATATAACACATTAATTCTTTTTTTTCTTTGAATATACATATATAGAATATATATATATAAGAATCGAATTTTCTTCAAGTTTAATATCAGTACAAATTTTACAATATATCATGTTTGAATACTTTAAATAAGATCTACTTGACCAATTTCGTTTAATTTTCATGTTTACAAAATGTTTTTCCATTTTTCAATACTGAATAGAGATTTTATGTTACCACTCTTAACGAAAGAACAACCAATTTACATTTTGAAAGAATCGATTTTCCTTTCGATCTGTCTGAAATATCTATGTTTACTCATTTGAAATAAACCTGTAAATTAGATGCCATATGCTATATACACCACTTAAATACATCAACATTTAGGCGTTATAAGAAACTAAAATATCAACTCTGTAAATAATAATAAAAAAATAATAATAAGCCTTGAAATGCAAAGAATCTTTTCAATTTTAAGATTTTGAATTAAGAAATTAATTTTTAAAAAATTAAAAAGAAAATTTCTGTAGATCTGCATTATAGTCGAGACATATGGCATTTATCAGTATCTTCTAAATACTTTTATTCTATGACAAAAATAGCCTTGACGTACTTTGTTATAATTAGTAGACTTTTCTGTGATTGTTTTAAGTGGCCTAATTGTCGATTATAAGGACCCTAGGGATGGACAACCTAAAAGGACTGTAATCTATTAAATATACCATATAAATCAAGGAAATGTACGCGTGTAATGGTCTCGTTACGACTGGCTGATTCCAGTAATGTTTTTTTTCTCTGCCATGTCTCGGAAAGCAGACAAGAGGTCAATTTCTTCGTAACACGTGTTTTTGCCGGTATATAGAAATGCTCTGTTTTTATATACCTCTGTGATTTGGTGAAAGTACATCAAAATTCCGCATAATGTATTTTTATTTGTGCGTTCTGATTAAACGGCTTTGAAATAATAATTTTTTTGGTGTAAAAAATGCTCTATTTTTGCAAATTATGTTTATAATTAAATTACACAGTTATTCAAGAGATTTATAAAAAATTAAAAAGTGAATAACTTCCTTGTGTTTTGACACAAAACTTGCATGTTAATGTCTTTGTATTATTTTTCTGTTCAACAGTAGCGGACAGACTTGCCAACAATCTTGATGTAAAATATGCTGTTCGTACGAACTTTGCGGTAGTGGGTAGAGTTCCCCATTCTGTGGCGGTATTAACATTAACCAACAAAGGAAACACCGCATTGCCAGACACTGGATATTCTATATTCTTCTGTCATGACAATTTCCTGTTCCCCGTCAGCTATCAGGAGGAATTAGCAAAATACGAGGCAGCACCTTATGGGGGACCTTTAATGATTGACGGATATAATATCAATTTCCTCCATGGCTGTATGTATGAAATGAAGGCAGTTAACGCTGGACTTCGACCCCAGGAATCAAAGAACATTACCTTATACTTCCAACCTTTTACTGTGAGTAGATATGACTCTTTCCGAAACTGGTATGTAGTTGATGATGCAAAGAGTGTCCGAGTGTTACCAGATACCCAAAATCTTGACTTTGTGGCGGACTTTAAAACGCCTCTAAACCAGTTACGTAGAACGGATGATCTGGAGAGTGTACCAAAGGAGCCACAAGACAGACAGAATGCCTACGTACCTTTTAAGAGCGGAGTCCTTTACGATGTCACACCAAAGCCTAGAGAACAGACAGTTAACCAACCAGTCAATCTGATTGACGTCACGGCAGCAAAAGGAGGTTGGAAGATCGATGCCACAAGCCCCATCCTTAATTCAGCAAAAGATTATCTAGCTTGTAAGGACCTTTTCTCTCTTGATGTGATTTTGCTACATTTTTAATTTAACTATGTATATCAGAGATGTAGGTTATATTTAGAGATACATTTAGCAATCTGTGAATTTTTCACATATGTTTTTTTTATAATTCAGCCCAGACCAAGATAAAGACAGCTGAAGCGGCCCCAACTAACCCCAAAACGATAGAGCTCAATCTAAAACCGGCAGCTTATTTCCCAACCCAGATCTACGGACCCGTTACCGACGAAGCTTACGAGTTGAAGATAACTCCTAATAAAATTGAAATCAATGGCAGATCTCGTAAAGGAGTCATCAATGGTATCCATACCTTTATCTCGCAGCAGGCATGGAGAGAGGTCCCCGCACAAACTATCAGGGATGGTCCAAGATTCCCTGAAAGAGCCCTACAGCTGGACATAGCCTCCAACTTCTACACACCGTCAGAAATCAAAAAAATAATAGATTTGATGGCTTACTACAAACTCAACCGTCTGTACTTGCAGATCTGGAACAACCATGGGCTCCGACTGGATATGGGTCTTGGAGCAGCACAGGTATTGATAATAAAAAAAAAACCATTTTCATGAAATCTAAAAATAATTCGATCTCAGTGCAAATGTGGGGAAAAAGTGTAAAACTGATAGAATTTTTTTACCACATGATGTAAGTTTGATTGTTTAATGTAGTTTGCTGGAAAAAGATGCCATGACCTAAGTGAGGATATGTGTCTATTAACCCAACTTGGTTCAAACCCTGATGGAACCGGACTAGGGAACGGTTACCTAACTCCAGAACAATACAAAAATCTCATAAAATATGCAGATAATCGCGGAATAATGATTGTTCCATCTGTCAACGTCGGTGATAATGCACGTGCTATGGTAGTTGGTATGCAAGGTGTCCTCAATAAAGGTCAACAAGGATTTAGTTTGTTCGACCCAACAGAAGTAGATGATTTGAGAATCTCTGGAAGATATCCTGGAAAAGACAGCGCCATTAATCCATGCAGACCTGAAACCATGCAATTTGTAAAGTTTGTGTTAAGGAGTTTGAAAAAGCTCCATCAAGACGCAGGAAGAAATTTAACGAGGTTGCACTTTGGATCCGACTTCAACACCGAACAGATGATGACCTCCAAACACTGTTTCCCTACAGCTCCCAGAAATGCAACAGAGTTACAAGCCGCTCGTTCCAAGCTAACAGCCATAAAAGCTGACTTCCTCGCAAAACTTGGAGTATTATTTACCGCCGAGAATGTTGATATCAGCGGAACAGTTGATTTTTTCACCGGCTTTCCCGATAACGAGTTTGTATCCAGAATGACAATTATGGACAAAGCTAAACGATATCCCAACATCAACGCTTTTGCGGTCAACGATGACTACATGAGATTCAATCCACCTGCAGGACCAAACACGCGAATGGAAGTCTACTCTCAGCGTGCTCAACTTCTGAAGAACAACGGATACAAGGTAATAAATCAATATCTAAAAATAACTAACCAATGAGAGAGAGGGAGAGAGAATGAGAGAGAGAGAAGGATGACAGATAGAGGGCGCTTGGTTTATGGACTTTCTGTTCCTTTTCGACTAATTTTCTTTTTCTTTGCTCTCCAAATCCGAATGTATACTCAACAAAAATACAAACGGTCTAAAATATATCGTCTTTTTTAAGGTTCTGGTCTCACCTCCACATAAGACAAAATTTGACACAGCCTACGAACCCGATCCACACGCTCCCGGGGATTACAGTGTTGCCACAAGAAACGTGAGCTTACGCGAGGCTTTCGCATGGGTACCGAACAGCAGGTGCTGCAACCTTAATTTAGCTCCCGAACAAGTAGCCAATGAAGTCACCAAGCATGGCTGCCTTGTAGAGACTCTGTGTGACGCTTTTGCTGAAGGCGTAACTGGTTTTGACGGTAAATTGCTTTTAAGTAATATGTTATACGGTATGACCGTTGGGGGGGGGGGGGCGCAGTTGTATCATTCTTTATATCATTCTTTATAGCTTACCGGTTCTTAAAACTTCAAACCGCACGAGACATTGTTACATGTAAATATTAAGTGAATTGTAAATATAAGGAACTTACTGGTTTAGGGGTTTATGATGATAATTAATCGAATTGAGCACTCAAGTAACTCTTTTATAAACATTTTGGTGCATACATGGTTATACTCCATATACTAGTAGTAATATAATCTCTATTGAGATTCTGCTGGGCTAGATATTTGGACTGACGCCCACAGAATCTCTAAGACAACCACTCATAATTCATGTCTGGAAATCAAGCCCCAACTTCGGCCGACTATAGCAAGAATTATTCACCTAGACCACACTGCCGTTCGCTTCAATTAAGTCATTTGGTTGTTTATTTGACTCTCTGTCACTATCATTTCCACATTGCTTACCGTTTAGGCATGTAAATCCCAACATAAAAATATTCACTGAAATCTCCGTTCGAAATATGGCTCCTTTGACGAAATTGTTTACCTCCTCACATAAAAGAGTTCCTATAGTTTGTTTTTACCCTATGTGATTATGAACTAATGTCTACTATGGCTATTGAACATCACATAAAAGAAAACGGACTATAGGAACTCTTTTATGCGAGGAGGTAAACAATTTCGTCACAGGAGCCATATTTTGAACGGAGATTTCAGTGAATATTTTTATGTTGGGATTTACATGCCTAAACGGTAAGCAATGTGGAAATGATAGTGACAGAGAGTCAAATAAACAACCAAATGACTTAATTGAAGCGAACGGCAGTGTGGTCTAGGTGAATAATTCTTGCTATAGTCGGCCGAAGTTGGGGCTTGATTTCCAGACATGAATTATGAGTGGTTGTCTTAGAGATTCTGTGGGCGTCAGTCCAAATATCTAGCCCAGCAGAATCTCAATAGAGATTAGTAGTAATATACATGTATCATTGTATGGATCATACTGGTTTATCACCCCACAAACCATAAAAAAATTAGTTTTTTTTTCCTTTACGTTTGTTAGTTTAATCTTTATTTATTTTTTTTTTATCTTTTTTTTACTTTTTGGCAGGTACACTTGCTACCATCGATACACGTAAGCTACCGAACATCAACACAACTCTTCGACTTCTAAGTCCCCGTATATTTGCCTTCGCGGAACGTTCTTGGCACGAGGCCCCGTGGGAGGCGTCATTTACAGGATCTACGCCTTACCAACCTCCTGCAGCACAAAATCGGGCCATGATGCCACCATTAGATATATCACCAACTCTCGATCCAGACTTTACCGGGCTAGAAAACGACTACCAGCGATTCAGGAGCATTATTGGTGCAAAGGAAGTCATGAGAGTAGCCAGCAAGGGACTGCCCGTCTTCTGCTCAGCGCCAGGGGCAAGGTGCATGCAAATGCTTTATCTAAAAAAGATACTGAAATAAAATCCTCTCTTTTGATATATTTTTTTTTCAAATAGTACTTTGAATACAAATCTGTACACATAAGCGCAATATTTTATTGTTTTTGAATATGATTTTAGAGTTGTAAGACAACCAACCGGTGACAAATTAGAATCGTCATGTATGTACCCTAACATGAAAGTCTATGTCAAAAACAACATGGGACAGTTTGAAGAAATGAAAACAATACCAACAACAAATGTGACGATAAAATGCCAGTATTATATGGCTAGGTAAGAGCTATTAGAAAAAATTCTGTAGGTTGTCATTAGACCTAAAGTTATACTTTAAATGTCTGTAGGTTGTCATTAGACCTAAAGTTATACTTTAAATGTCAAAATAAATCCCTTTTTAAAGACATATAATAACTTGTAACGTTTTATTTCACAGTTTCCGACGCTTTTTTGAGTGCCATGAACAAGAGTTCAATTCAAATGTAAGTATGATTCTTTGCAAAATTATTTTTTTACAATCCATGTTCCAGAAATGGTATGTGCTGGTGCAAAGTCTGGACGGAAAGTTTGGTGCAATGATGCATGATAATTAATGTGTGATGTTAAATGTGGCTTATCTGTTAAAATGACTAGTACTGTGGAATCTTTTAAATTCGTGGGGGTCAATGTTCATTCATGGGTAACCAAAACGTTTTGGATTTTTTTCGTAGATACAATTTTTTGGGTGAATCATATACCGAGTATATAGAAGTTTCAATAAACAAATATGTTGACAAAATAGATTTTTTTTCGGATGTTAATTCGTGGGTAAGAGTAACTCAGGAATTCATCAAATATTGGTCCCCACAAACAATGACAATATTTTATATCACCTCAAAGCTGTAAAGAAATTCTAAAATAAATTACAAAAGAGTACAGAGAGAATGAATGTTTAACAAACTGTTTTGCAGCTCGATAAAACACCCTACCAACATGTTTATGATCATATACAACAAAGGGCAGAGGCCATGCGAAGAGAGCGAGAGGCTCTCAGAGCCCGTGAACAACAAAATCTCCTGGAGATGGCCAGACGGCAAGCTGCACAGCAAGCCGCACAACAAGCTGCATTTTTACGACAGCAACAACAAGGAGGGCAACAAGGTGGGCAACTTCCTGGAAATGCACAACTTTCGGGAAATGGACAACTTCCGGGCGCTGGGCAACAAGGAAGAGGACAAGGACAAAGAGGTCAACAGCGTGCAGGTGCCGGACAAGCAGGAAGGGTCCAACAGAGAAGAGGCGGTTAAATCAGTTGTGTCCTAAATTATAACATCAACTGGATGTGTCCAATAGTACTGTTTGTTTTATGAAGCAAATCCATTATTATTTTCACAATTTTAACATTTAATGAATACTTTTTTTTGTTTTATACGAAAAAAAAATTGTGAAAGCAACATTTTTTTTATTTGAGGATTTAAGAATTCGTGTGTTTTAATAAGCATATTTAACATACTTGTTGTAAAGATTTAAATTAGCATAGGAATATACATTTAAATATCTGTTACTTTCTTTAACCAACAATTGTTTTAGTTATCAGATGATGCTTTTTGCTTGTCTCTGATTTTGGAACACTGACAGCATTTTATTTCAGTTTGAATGGATAATGTACCCAACCTTAATCATATTCTGCACTAAAATATATATTTTTATACATCTAAAAATAATTAATGATCCCTGTTATTGCTTAAGGAGGAATGTTCTTCTGCTAAGGAACATAATTCAAAAGCCAGTTTGATTCTTTTATAAAATTTTCATCTTATACAATGCCTTATCTCAAATTTTACCCTAAATAGTAAACTCAACTTAAATCTTAAATTTTTATCCCTACTATCTGTTAGAAAATTGAGATCTTACAGACAGATTCCATGTTTGGTGAGCAGAGGTGCATTCTTCCTTAATTGATGATACAGGCCATATGTGTCCCTCTACAAAATCAATTTGAATGTAAATTCATACTTTTCATACCAATATATTCTTTTTTCCATGTTACTCAATCTCTGCTATGGACTTCTACATGATGTGACATGACTGTTATCTATCTGTTTTCATAAAAAAATAAAAACAAAAACAAATTTCCAAGCTTGATGTGATCTGAAATACACCGTTGTTGCAATGTTTACGAATTTTCCAAGTATAAATCTGGTACATTAAATGTATGTGGAATTCTTATTTTTATATGTTTATACAAACTATGTAGTGATACAAAGTGATACATGATCTCATGAAAGCTCTGTTATGAAAATAATATTCTCATCCAGTGATTTGCATGCATTCATGGTGCACTCTATGATGTTGATTGAATTAAAATTGGAAACGGGAGACACTTGTTATTGTTTTTCTCAGTGATTTTTATGGAAACTTTCATTTTTCCATATTTATCTTATTTGAAATATATGGAGATAAGAACAGTATTCAAGCTCAAAAGTCCATTAAACAATACGAATTTTGGAGCAGAGCAAACGACGACCTCTAAAACATGCTCCTTGTCATGATCAGGAAATAACTTAAAATTGTGTTGATTAAAAAATAAAAGTGAAAATATTCAATGGATGTCAATATTGTAGGGAATTTTTTTTACCCGTTTTCATTCCGTTTACCTCTTACTCTACAACTGCTGTTTTGCTCAAAATTTTCTAAGAAAACAATATCTTTTCATGAATTGTCATAAAATTAAAAATACAGAAGGCATTAAACTGTAACTTTAAATTTCTCAAGAAGGGATTAGGTTGATAAATAACTTACTGATAAATTTAAAAAAAAATAAAAATTAAAAAGAAATATAAAAAATTATTTGAAGTAATTTTCATCAACGTTATTTCTATTCTAAGGGCTAGCTATGTAATTAGGGTACTGAAGGACTTTTGATTTCTCAGTATTTTACGCTTTATAACTTCTAGTACATCAGTATTTTGCTAAGAACTTGTCAAAGCGACCATTTATTGTACATCTAAATATGTCTTGAAAACATCAGTGCTTCTAGAACATTTCCCGGACACATCTCTTTCCTGATTTCAGAATGACAAAAGTAGGTTAAACTACCAATTCTAAAATCAAGTGTTATGAAACCAAACGAACAAGCTCGCATGTCTTGCAAATGTTGTTGTATATATTGTAGATATGTTAAGCATGCAGAAGTAAATGCATGGTTAATCTCCATATCTAGGTACCAATTCTTCGATGCTTTTGTTTCAGTAGAATTATTTGGTCAGTACGCGTTTTTTTTTTTTTCTCATTTAATTGGTTTTGAAATAGCTTAACAAAAAATTGCTATCTTGCAAGAAAGTGGTTATACATGAACTGCAAATTCCTGAGGCCTGAATCTTTTTGAAATTTCATTAGTTGAAGGTTAATATATCTGGTCGTGAGTAACCTTTGTGTCTAGTATAAAGTATAACTTTCTTCAATCCAAGCATTGCAAAAACGTTTTTTCCTAATTCTGAGCCATGTGACCTTGACCTTCCCCAAGTAAACATGGTTAAAAATCATGGTCTCGAGTAACAAGAAATCATTGTATCAAGTATGATCTCTTTCTCCTCTAATACAAAGTTCATCCTTTATAATTTAACTGTTTCAATGCTTTTAAATTTGAATCGACTGAATTTTTCAAGGAGTTTTGTCTCCCCATGAATGTGACAGACCTTTTATTAGTTAGTCTGACCAGCTAAGGACACCTTAACACACATAGAAATGGTTGAGAGACCTTAGGGCAATGTAAAACTATGTCTGAAAAACTCATCAAAGAATGTTTCTTTGTAAATATTTAAAGAAGGTCATATAGCACTTGCGTTACGAAAAATTGAGGTTATTACCACGCTTCATAGCGATCTGTCTAGGTCACATAGCGATTTACACTTAAGTACACGCTTCAAGATCCTTTTAATATTGATGTTTCCTTTATTTCTGTAAATGTAGCAACCGAAAGAGACTACTGAGAGATCTTTTGTCCTTCAAAACATTTTGCATTCTTTGAAAGACCTCTAAAATCCCCTTACACAGAGGTGGCGACTTTTGCCAGATATTGTTGAGCTAAATTGATCGGATATCCCTACGATCTTTCAACAGTCGCCCAGCCATCCACATGATCCCTCAGTGGTCTCACACCGGTGGCCACAATCCCAGTAGTCTTCTCAAAGTTTTAATTCTACCCAAAATAGTACCTCAATTTTCGCAGAGGTAATGAATACAGTCTCCCAAAGAACACCCAAAGAGCACAGAAAGATCTCCAAATTATCTCTTGGATCTCCCAATGATCTCTCCAAGGTCTTTCAAAGAATGCAAAATGTTTTGAACGCATAAGGATATCTCAATGGTGTCTTTCGGTCTTATAGTGAGCTTTCTTGGTCGCATTAGTTCTCTCAGGAATTTCCGTAGATTTCTTAATAATATCTATTGGTCACAAAGCAATCACTCAGCAAACTCTCAGAGGTCGCTATAAAAAGCAATGTAACCATCAATATCGGAAGGATCTCCAAGATCGTACGGTGGCAGATCACCATGAATGTGGCAATATCCTTTTTTTTTAAATCGCAAAACAGGCACTTTATGATTTCCAAATAACATTTGCACAGAGACTAACTTCTCTGGCTTTCAGATCTAGAGATCGGAGAAATTATGCATATACCCGAAGGTCTCTCAACGATCTCAATGATGTTCCTGTGTGTAAAGGGACCCTAAAGGATCATTGGGAGGTAAAAGAAACGATGGTGATCTTTCTGCTCTTTTTGGGCGTCCTTTGAGATACTTATCATCGTTGAAAGCTTTTTAAGGAGACTGTGGATACCTCTGGAAAATCACTGAGAGATCATGGCAATGACTGGGCAACCGATGAAAGATCTTTGAGCGATCTGACCAATTTTGCAACGCTCAGCAATCTATCTACAGTCGCAACCTCTGTGTAAAGGGGATTTTAATGCTTAGGAGTTCTGTACAATTGAAATTTTGTGTGACTGCATGTATATGTGTTTCACGATAAATTACCATATACGTATATTAGAAACTCAGGAATGTATAGTGATCATATGTCATTTTTACATCTTGATATCCTACACTTTAGGACGTGTAAAGACATAAATGAACAGTTGGCAAAACGTTGAGTTTTTTACTTGTTGAAGTGAGAAATATTTAAAGAAAAGATTGTAAGCCAGTCTATGGTTTCTTCAAATTTGTTTCAAAAATCGTTGTATTAAAGTTTTCAATGTATCCATCTACAAATAATCACTGCATCTGCAACACGATCCTATAAGCAGTGCAAAAGACTCTCTTCAATAAGAAAAGCTCACCGAGACTTAAGCACTCATCCATTTCCTACAGGTATCAAAAAACAAGTGACAGTAGGAATTTTATTTCTTTTTTTATTTTCGGATTTATACATTTTTCTATGTTCTTGCTATACATCTATGTTAAATAAAAATTTGCAAATTTGCATATCAGTTCGCAAATTTTTATGTATTTTCCCTGTACATGCACTCCAGTGCAAACACCTTTGGGCATCTACTGAAGAACCATCCCGGCTTCGGAGACCGCGATTGATTTGATTCAGCATAGTTTTATTATTTTGGTCCCATTCTAAAGATTTTATTAGGTGAATCCACCAAATTTCATTATTTCCAAATGGTGTATTGGAGGGTAAACAAACTCACTGAGTTCTGTGAAAAACCTACACATTGTTAAAGACATCAATGTCATTGTTTCATAATTATGAAACATAAAACACACAATTCTCCTAAAGAGCAAGAAAGTTAAATATCACAAAATATCCATTATGAAGGCATCCTTTTTGACAAAAAACTATTTTCTTTATAATGGCTTTGATTTTATGGTGTGATTGTGGATGTCACGGATACATCTATGGGAGGAACAGTCGAACCAAATTCTGGGGGGATTCCTATTCCTGGAGGGGGTGCTATTAGTCCAGCTTCTACAAGTCTCTCTAGTACATTTCTGGGTCTCTAAAGAAAAGAAAAAAACAAGTTGTTACGAGTATTCCATTAAAATCCAATCAATGACGTCATGACCATTTTTTTCTTGTTTCTTCATTATCAATCATAAACAAGTATTAAAAATGTAATAAAAACAAAGCCAACCTCTAGAACATAATTGTCTACTTTGCTGTATCTGTTATTTGCGGCGTTTCTGAAATGAGATGGGTAAATAATATTTGTGATTTTGTTTTCACGGGAAATGATACCGAAACCTTTAACAATAATACAATATCCTTTCACTTATGATAACATATACAAAAATAAACCACACACACCTGGTTCTATAGGCCAGTACTCTCATTTTTAGATTTGTTATGTCCGTGGCTGGCTTAATGTCCGCCCATTGGTTTTGACCTCCTTGTACCTGAGGTTGTAGATCTGGATATGCTACGTCAGTGTGTAACACGTGCTTTATAGTATTGTTTGCGTCCTTGTACGTCATATTTCTTCAAAAGATAATAAAAAAATGATGCTGTGAAAAGAAAACAGTTGCAATACCTGCTTGATCTCCAAAACTCATTTGTGGTTAACTTTCGGAGTTACCACCAAACATACCTTGCTCCTGGTGGTGGAATTCTGGGATTGACTCCATATGCTTCCAGTCGCTTTAGTTCACGGTGGCCGATCATGCTAGCTACGCGGGCCCAGTCGGCATCACGTGCTGCAAAATCTGGTACAGGGTAGTCTTCGTTGACGTTTGTGCGGACTTTGTAGGTCGATTCCCATGGTGCTCGGTGCCATGCCCTCTCGGCAAATACAATCAACCGTGGAAACAGCAGACCAAACAACTGATCCTCTGTTCTTATTCTTGCTGTCCAGACTTGTGCCTGCATTCCTATTAAAGAAATCTTCTGCTTTTATCAAGTTGATCTTATCGGTTTAAAAATGGAAAAGTAACAAAACCGTCACAAATGCGACAAAAATGTACGATCCTCTCCCATTCTCAAGGTCAGGAGAGAGCTGCATTTGCATAGACTCTAAGACGATGGAACAAAACAAAACAAACAGTTTGTATATGTTGACACCATATACAAAGTTTAACTATAAAGCTTTTCATACGAATTAAATATCCCTATGAAGACTTGTTTTCCAATTTGTAATGTATTAACTTCGAATTCAAGTTATTTGGAGTTTAATTACAAACTTTCTTAGTTTTGGTTCTACTGGGCTCTCTTACATTGGATATGTAAGCTGTTTGTCGTTGATCTAGCCAAATGTCTAACTAGCTGTCTGATGTTTTTTTTTAATTGTTTTGAAATACTACTTTTTGGTAGCATTTCGAAACAATTATAAAAGACTTCGGACAGACCAAAAGACGGACAAAGATAACAGGTGATG